TTGAATGATTAACTTACCTTTGTTTGCAAGTAATTTATGTCAATTTGTATAGTGATTGCATTTTGAAGCGCATTTGCAATATTTAATTTGCTTGTGCCTATTAATATCGTACGAAAGAATTTTAGCTTATCGTGCGGAACGCTAACTTTGTCACTCGAGAGTAGACCGCGTGTGCTCGATTATAATTTGTTGCTAAGTGAAAATGGTAGTTGAACTTTGATCGACCGTTCATTAGTTGTGCCGTGTGTCACGTGTTTGATTACGATTAACGGGGATTTAGTTGAGTTTGAAGTTAATTAAATGTACAATAAAGCTGGAAGCTTCAGGAAGCGGATACTAGGGACAAATATCATGCGAGGGTAGCCGAAAAGCTTGACACCATCGATGGCAGAAAAGAATGTGTAGAAAGAACTTGGCAGAACCTTAGGGATGGAATGGTAAGTGCAGCGGAAGAAGTGTGTGGAACAATAAAAAGAGGCAGTAGTAAAAGAAGAGATGCATGGTGGAATGATGAAGTGAAAGAAGCTGTAAAGAAGAAGAAGAAAGCATGGTTAGACTACTTGGCCTCTAGTAATGATAAGGATATGAGAGAGAAGATGAAAGAAAGATATAGGCTGCAGAAAGTTCACACGAAAGCACTGATTGAGGAAGTGCGTGAAAGGTGTAGAATGGAAGCGGACGAAAGGTTGTCGCACAGCTTCAAGGAGAACTCCAAACTCTTCTGGAAAGAGGTTGGAAGGACCCGAAGTGGTGCGACGGCCTTAAGAATGAACAAAGTGCTTTCGAGAACTAATGACGTCCTCTCAGAAAAATCGGACGTCATGCAGCGATGGAGCGAATTTTATAGAGAAATGTATGTGTGTGATGATCTTAGTGAGGGATCCGGGGATGACGCCGTGACTGGTACGCCAGACCCGGACCTCGATGACACAGAGGTCATCAGGATGAAAGAGATTGAACGTGCGATTCGAAGTTTGAAATGTGGTAAGGCTGCGGGACTAGACAGAGTTACTGCTGAAATGGTCAAGTATGGTGGGCCTCGCGTCTGGGACAGATTTCATCTGCTGTGCAATTTGTGCTGGCGGACGGGGGATGTCCCGGATGATTGGCAATCCGCAGTCATTGTGCCTTTATATAAAGGTAAAGGTTCACATTTTGACTGCGGGTGCTATCGGGCGATCAGCTTGACCAGTTTAGCAAGTAAAGTTTACTCGAAGGTTTTGACACGTAGGATGCAAGAGAAATCGGAAAGATTTCTATGGGAGGCACAATGCGGATTTAGACCTGGAGGAGGATGCACGGATCAAATGTTTTCTCTCCGCATGATCACGGAGAAACTTCTGGCTGCTAACCAGAAGATTTTCTGTGCTTTTGTGGATCTTGAGAAAGCATTTGATAAGGTTGTAAGGAAGAAAATGTGGGAACTGTTGCCGGGGTATGGTGTGGATGCTCGATTGCTAAGGGCTGTGCAGTCTCTTTACTGTGACTGTAAAGCCTGTGTGCGGGTAGGGCATGACCTGTCACCCATGTTTAACGTCCAAACGGGCGTAAAGCAGGGTTGTGTCATGTCTTCCTGGCTGTTCATACTGTATCTCGACAGCTGTTTACAGAAGCTGAAAGATAGTTGTTTGGGTGTGAAATTGGGTGACATTAAAGTAAATTGTCTGCTGTATGCTGATGATGCAGTGCTTATTGCACCATCAGAGGCAGAACTACAGGCATTAGTCACGTGTATGAAAGAGGAATGTGAAATTAAAGGTCTCCGTTTGAATGCTAATAAAACTAAGGTTCTGGTATTTGAAAGGGACGAAGAGAGAACGAAGTGTGAAATATGGGTAAATCAGGAATGTCTAGAACAGGTAAATGAAATTGTATACTTGGGGAGTGCTTTTAGCCGGGATGGAAGATGTGATTTAGATGTGGACAGGCGTGTCGCTGCCGGGAACAAAGTCAATGGTGCCCTGACTGCTTTGGTCAAAAGGCAAGGCGTAGTGAAGAGTGCACGCCTTGCAATACATAACGCAGTGTTGGTACCGACTTTGTTATATGGCAGCGAAACCTGGGTATGCCAGAAGAAGCATAAAAGTAAGTTGAATGCAGTGGAGATACGATCTCTTCGTAAAATGTGCGGCGTTACCATGGCCGACCGAAAGCGAAACGAAGAGATTCGCAATATGGCAGGTTTTAAAGATGACCTTATCACAAAAATTGATAAGGGCGTGCTTCGGTGGTTTGGGCACGTTGAGCGAATGAGTGAAGACCGAATGGTGAAGAAAATATATAGCGCGAAAGTTAATATTAAAAGGTGTCGAGGTAGACCGAGACTAACTTTCGAAGACCATGTGAGCAAATTGCTCGAAGAGGGTAAAAGTACTCGGATACCTAGACGTGCATGCATGAAGAAGATAATGAATCTGAAAGAAGCGAAAGAGGTTTGTAAGGATCGTGACACTTGGCGATCTGTTCTCTCTGGCTACCCCGACAGGGATTGTGCGTGAAGATAAGTATAAGTAAGTATAAGTATAAGTACAATAAAGCTGATAAACTGAAATAGTGAAATGAAGGCCGAAGTTTTCAATTGGTGAACTACGACTGGAGGGAGCGCACATTTGGAGAAAGGCAGCGCCTGTGAATCTTCTGTCCGATTTCATCGGGCCGTCAGGTTACATGTATATACACTTTCGCACACCACTTTACATACACCTCACTTATCACCTGACTGGTACCATGTGGTCAACCCTACCTCCAGAGATCGGTAAGATTTTGTTGGCTTAGCAGCCCTTATATCTATATGTCTAATAAGTCTCCATAGGTCATTTGGGCCCCGTCCTCTGTTGCCCGTCGTGGTGGCTACTATGGGCCCTAGTCCAATCGACCTTTGTAGGGGCAACTAAGGGCGTGAACAGGAACTATGATCCGACTCCTCGCTTTCAGACCCTATTCATTGTCGATTCCGTTCAAAGCAACTTCTAGAAACGTCGAAAATTTCACTGTAGTCACTACTGCTATCTTCGTCAGCGGACTCGTGATTGTTGTCTGACCCGTAATCGCCGATATCGTCAAAATACGGATCATGGTTAGATTCATCATCTCGAAATAAAGATGTTGGCTTGCTTCCGCTCATTTTTTTTCTTTGTGACCATCTGCAGATAATTGAAAGAGAATTAGACGTACACCAAAATGATAGGCCATTTATTCTAACAATTTCTTGAAACAAGTGTACATCATTTTTGAAAGATTGATCACTATTCGGTTATCTCTAAACAAGCAATAACATATTATAAAACTAAATTACTGACCAGGAAAACACGTAGGTATTCAACGTGCGAAGACGAACGATTTGGCGCAGCGAGCGTGCCCTTCTCCGAGTGACACTATGCGACTGGTACGAACGCAACGGTTACATTCGTATGTAGCACCACATGTGTACTAAAGCAACATTTTCATATATGTGTAGATAGCACACATTTATGATCATAAAAGTTTATATTGTGTCAGTACAATCCTGAAACTGTTTGGGTTATGACAGTAGACGTAGGTCTTGATATTAACCATAAAGGAATACCGCGCATATTTACGTAGTGGCTAATATGGAAAAAATAATTTAAAGTAAATAGGCATTGTGTCTTAACACAAATTCATAACGTCACGAAAATGGTCATACTGTCCGTGAAAGTGTTTATAACATTAAGTTCCAAAATGTAATTTCTACTTTAATGAATTAAAATAATCGGTCGCTAGACTCAACTCGCTTGAATGGTAGCAACATACACGAGTTGACAAACTGTTCTTGCATAACCCTTAGTAGGCCCTGTCTATATGAATCTTTATGTAAGTATAGCTAATACCGATCTGTTATCGTTGTCACTTACCACTTATCGCGTTTCGTACGCTTATCATATATACGTACGTAACACAGGAATCTCAATTATAACAAACAACATTGCATTTAATTCGTATTATAAGTAGTGGCACGAAAGTCTAGCGATGGCCGTTATTGCGCATAAGTCGCGCTGATTGGCTCGTGCGTATCGTGCAATTCAATTCGTGCGTGTCACCTCCACGTTTCGTTCAGCGCTAGACTTACATGCCGCGACTTGTACCTAGCTTATTAACTACGTAGTGCATGACTCCAAGTTAATTTAAAGCTTATATCGACACATTTTGTCTTTGTATTTATGTTTCTATGAAATAAAATAAAAAGCGTTCTATTTCATAGCTTAAAACAGTAATAAAAAGTAACTCGACTGCTTAAAAAAATTACTTAAAGGGGTAAAACTTTATACCCTATGTCATTACCACAAATAAGGCTACAGAGCATAACATATAACATAACATAAACACTCACGCCTGTCACCCAGAGGGGTAGGCAGAGACTACGGACTTCCATTTGGCGCGATCCTGACACACCTCTCTCGCCTCTTTTACATCCATATACGAGTATCTACGCATATATGCTCGTCGGTTAAGGGTACTACTAATCTGGCCCATTTTTAATGTATCGCCGATTTGGTCGATAAACCTTCGTCTAGGGCGTCCCTTCCCGACCCTGCCGTTCACTTCTGCAACATAAATTTGCTTTGTCACTCTTTCCTCGTTCATTCTTTCTACATGACCAAACCACCGAAGCATTCCTTTCTTAATCCTTGTCACAACGTCATCTTGCAAACCACACTTTTGTCTTATCACACTATTTCTCACCCTGTCATTCAGATTCAGCCCTAGCATACTCCTTAAAGACCGCATTTCTACAGCATTTATTCTACTCTCATGCTTCTTCTGCCACACCCAACTTTCACTACTTGGCTACAGAGCGTGCCAAAGAAATAGACATACATACATACATACTCTCAAAAACATTACCTTCTTTCTGGGGCAGACGGATAAAAAGTTTTTTTTTTTGTATTATCAAGGGATCAATGTCGTCTAATAGACCGACACTTTACTTTTTATTTTAATAACTTAAAAAGGTTCTTATCTTCATAATATTTTTGCCCTAGAACCTGAAACACCCCAACCTGGTGAACCTGATCGAGGTGTTCCGGCGCAAACGCAAGCTGCACCTCGTGTTCGAGTACTGCGACCACACCGTGCTGCACGAACTTGAGAAGTATCCTTCTGTGAGTGAACAACTTTTCTATTTTATCCTTAAGAGCACTAGAAAACTAAGTGTCTCCAACTCCACAAAAAAAAACCTCTTTCGCTTTATTTTATTAGTATAGATTCTATCTCATTCTCTCTTTTTAGTGTCCTTTTTTCGTTTCATATGTTTCAAATCACAACGATGCTAAAGTAGTGTTCACTTTAATCCAAAGCTATTTCACAAATGCTTCGACAAGGTGTTCGTTTTTAAATTTGACGACCTGTAAAAGTTCACTACTGGATATAGACCTCTCCCATCCTAAGGAGAATTTGACTTAATTTTTTTTTAAATAATAAGGGTAACAAATAGGCACACATTCCAAGTGACGGTAAGTGGATGCTGTGGCCCATAGACATCTACATTTATCCTCGATTAACAATTAAAATGCAGATGCGTTGCAACCCCTGAGAACTAAGAGAATGCATCGTATCCAGTAGAAAGGGTTTAATATAATCTATACATATAAATAAAATTGAAGTGTATGTCTATAATATTGAAATACCTGGTTTCTATTAAGCTCGGGGGATTATTTGCATGCTATTAAGACATAAACAACCATTCTTTACATTTTTGTCTGTCTGTCTGTCTGTCCGCGCTAATGTCCATTATGGCTGAACCGATTGTAATAAGACTTTACTAACAGATAGAGAGCAATACCAGGAGGGACCTAGGCTATATTTACTCCGAAAAAACTTGAAGATTTAAAAATTAAACTAAAAATTGATAAAATAAATGGTGCTTCATTATCTTAAATATAAATACAGTAGAACGCCGATTAACCGAATCGCCAATTATCCGAATCGGTCCTAAGCGTAATATAAATTTTTTAAACCAAGTACAGTAAGTAACATTACTTACTTACATTACTTATACAATACTTGGTTAACTGATATTAAAAATAACAGTGAAAAAATTTTAACTTTTGTGACTGCGTTGGAAAGAGGTGATGGATTTTCGTCGCGAAGTAATGAAAAAAGCAGGGGATAAACAGCTGGAGAATGCTGTTGCTGATGTAGCTGGTTTTACTCTTTATAAAACTTTATAAAGTGTAAAACCATTTACATAGGCTGCACTAAAAGTATCGGGAATGGAATATTTCCACTGTTCCTGTCATATTAAAATCTTTTTAATTGAAAATTCCTTGGTTTTAAAAATCGAATACCATTTATTTATTTAAAAAAAGATTCACGGTCTTGTCACAAGGTTTTGTCAAACTTGTTTAGTCGTTGAGAAAATGGAATTGACTCGAGAAAATTCAAGAGCGATGATTTATTATGACTTTCGAAGTGGTTGAACACAAAAACAGTGTGTTGACCGGATGATTTCTGCATTTGGTGATGAAGCCCCATCCAAAACCACAATTTATCGCTGGTTTGCTGAATTTTAACGTGGACGTGTCAAGCTCAGTGATGATCCCCGTCAAGGTCGTCGAAAAACTGCAGTCACCCAAGAATTTTTTTTTTATTTTTATTTTGCGTGCTATCACCAACGCTGTTTCTTCTGCATATCAATGATATGTTGCAAGCCGGTAGCATTCATTGCTATGCGGATGACAGCACTGGTGATGCTCTATACACCAGCCGTGCCAATATTTCTCGGGAAAACGTCACCGAGTACCGGAACAAACTTGTGTCTAAAGTCGAGTCTTTGCTGGACAAAGTCTCGGATTGGGGGCGACTAAATCTAGTCCAGTTTAATCCTCAGAAGACACAAGTTTGTGCGTTTACCGCTAAAAAGAACCCCTTTGTCGTATCTCCTCAGTTTCAAGGTACTCCCCTTGTTGCCTCAGCCAGTATCGGAATCCTCGGCGTCGACATATCGAGTAGCGTTCAGTTTCGTGGTCACTTGGAAGAGAAGGCCAAATTGGCCTCTAAAAAGCTTGGCGTGCTCAGCAGAGCGGGACAGTATTTCATGCCGGCTCAACGCCTGCAACTTTACAAGGCGCAGGTTCGGCCTCACATGGAATACTATTCCCATCTCTGGGCTGGGGCTCCCCAGTGCCAGCTTCTTTCACTTGACCGCATCCAGCGCAGAGCGACTCGAATCGTCGACGACCGAGTCCTTTCCGATCGGCTCGACTCATTGGCATTGCGAAGAGATGTTGTATCTCTTAGTATTTTCTTTCGCATTTACCATGGGGAGTGCTCTGAGGAATTGTTCGGATTAATCCCAGCCGCCAAATTTCACGAACCCACATCGCGGCAGAACTCGCGATACCATCCACACCATCTGGATGATTGGCGGTCCACCACTGTGCGATTTAGAAGATGTTTTCTTCCTCGCACAACTTCCTTGTGGAATAGTTTACCACCAGCGATTTTTCCGGACCGATACGACTTAGGGACCTTCAAGAAAAGAGCCTACTCCTTTTTAAAAGGCCGGCAACGCATCTGCAATTCCCCTGGTGTTGCGGTTGTTCATGGGCGGCGGTAGTCACTTACCATCAGGTGAGCCGCATGCTCGTTTGCCCCCTCTCCTATAAAAAAAAAAAGTTGATGCTGTGCGTAAGCTGATTGAGGAAGATCGACATGTGACATACCGCGAAATTCAGGCAACTTTAGACATTGGCATGAGTCAAATACAAATAATCTTGCATGAACAATTAGGTGTAAAAAAGTTGTTTTCCCGATGGATACCGCATTCGCTCTGTGAAGAGCAAAAAGCGACTCGCGTTACTTGGTGCGTCAGAACTCTCGAAAGATTCCACGCAGGATCCTTAAATGCTGTGTACAACATCGTATCAGGTGACGAATTCTGGATATACGCGTACGAACCCGAAACAAAAAACCAGTCACGAGTTTGCGTGTTCGAAAATGAGTTAAATCCAACAAAAATTATTCGTTCACGCAGTGTTGCAAAAAAAATGGTGGCCACGTTTGTCTCCAAAACCGGCCATGTTACGACTATTCCTCTTGAGGGACAAAAAACGGTTAATGCAGAATGGTATGCTAGCATTTGTTTGCCACAGGTCGTTTCTGAACTCCGTAAAGAGAACTGCAACCGCCGCATCATCCTCCATCACGACAATGCGAGTTCTCACACCGCACACAGAACAAAAGAGTTTTTAGAGCAAGAAAACATAGAATTATTAGACCATCCGCCGTACAGCCCCGACCTAAGCCCTAATGATTTCTATACTTTCCCTAAAATAAAGAATAAATTGCGTGGACAGAGATTTTCATCATCTGAAGAAGCTGTGGACGCCTACAAAACGGCCATTTTGGAGACCCCAACTTCCGAATGGAATGGTTGCTTCAATGATTGGTTCCATCGTATGGAAAAATGTGTCAAATTTTCCGGAGAATACTTCGAAAAGCAATAAATACATTTTCTGCTGACTTCCAAAAAGGAGCCGGTACTCAATTCGACTGTATGTTTTTTTTTTCGTTTTTTTTTTTTTCGTTTTTTTTTTATGTGTGTTACCTCAGAACTTTTTTCTGGGTGAACCGATTTCGATGATTCTTTTTTTATTTGAAAGCTGGTACTTCTCGTGTGGTCCCATATGAATTTGATCAAGGTCAGACCAATAGTTTTTAAGTTATTCTTAAATAACTTATATTGAAGTCGGCTGTACAAAATTTTTAATTTTAAATTATTAAATAGTAATGTTGTGTCACTTCCTTGATTCCCGAAATTTTCAGTGCCACCCTCGTATAAACCTAATAAAGTTTATTCTATATGTGACAGTTCGTTTTTCTATATTACATAGCAGTCTATGTCCGATTATCAGAATTTTTTGCCGACTTCCAAAAAGGAGACGGTACTCAATTCGACTGTATGTTTTTTGTTTTTTATGTGTGTTACCTCATAACTTTGTACTGGGTGAACCGAATTCGATGATTCTTTTTTTTATATGAAAGCTGATAGTTCTCGTGTGGTCCCTTATGAATTTGATCAAGGTCAGGCCAATGGTTATTGAGTTATTCTTAAATAACTTATATTGAAGTCGCTTATATTGAAGTCGGCTGTACAAAATTTTTAATTTTTAATTATCTTGTCGATTATCCGATCGACCCCGGTCCCAATTAATTCGGATAATCGGCGTTCTACTGTAACGCTACATCAATATAGATCCTATCTAGGCGAAGCCGGGTAGAAGGTTATTCATGTCTTGATTGCATGCAAATAACCCCCTTACCTCAAGAAAAGGCAGTTATTTCAATAGTACAGACAAAGTAACGTATAGATTTCGCTTATCAAACCAGGTCAGCCAACATTTCAAATTGATTCAAGGACGCATCGTTAGAAACTAATGAACTTGTGCATATTGCTCAATCTGCGCCACAAACTGATTACCTAGAATGCCTAACATTGCAAACCCTACCCTGGCTTCGTTGGGCAACAACCGGTTCTTTCACCAGAACTCTCGTAGCGTGCGCCTCACTTGTAGTGGGTGTAGAGATACTTATTTTTAGGGTTCCGTACTTCAAAAGGGAAAACGGAACCCTTATAGGATCACTTTGTTGTCTGTCTGTCTGTCTATCTGTCTGTCAAGACCCTTTTTCTCAGGAACGCGTGGAGATATCAAGCTGAAATTCATATCAAATACTCATGTCTACTGTCCCTTGGAGCTGCGAAAAAATCAAACTTCTAAGCCAACGCAATCAAAAGATACAGCCGTTTATGCCGCAAATTTGCGATATTCTCAAGGGAATCAAAACCTACAAGGTACTTCCCGTGAACTAATAATCTTAAAATTTGGTACGAAGCAACGTATGTGCACAGATAGAGGAAAAATTGCGAAAAGCATAAATTTTTAGTTACATCATATAATAAAAATATTTTTAATAATTTTAAACTTATATACCTACGGATTTGTTCGGAACCCTCGGTGCGCAAGTCCGACTCGCACTTGGCCGTTTTTTTTTTATAGTATAAGGGTGACAAACGAGCACACAGTCCACCTGATGGTAAGTGGCTGCTGTGGCCCATAGACATCTACATCTATCCGCGATTACGAATCAAAATGCAGATGCG